GCTATAAAAGTTTTGTGAAAAGAAGCTTACTGAAAACTATTGTGCATGTTTCTTTATTTTAGTAAACAACCAAAATAAAATTTCGCTAATTTTAAGTAATATAATGTGGTATAATACCGTGCCCTCCAAAAGTTAAGGAATAGCATGTTTTTGGTGTCTAATTTGAGAATGAAACAAGAAATTTACAGAACACGTTCACTAAACAGTTTTTTAATGCATGCGACATGGAGTGTTTCTAAAGTTCAACACAAACATGAATTACTTCAAAAAATTTCACTCTTCGCAGAGAAATCCAGTCTTCGAGAAACAGTATATCACAGTTTTTTTTTAAAGAAAAATGGGGTGGTAACATTACAAAAATGTATTTTAATAAGAAATGTGTCCAACCCTAGCTCCAATACATTGGCGGCAGCCACCTTCCATGCTGTCAATTAAGTTGTCGATCAGTGAAATGAGAAGCTACGACCAGACACGGAGTAAGCCTTCTTCAAGCTTTATCTAACGACCTTCGAGAAGGACTTAAAGCAGCAACCTGTCTCCCAAGGTAGTCCCAAAGATGCTCTATCGGATTCAGGTCTAAGGATTGATCTGGTCATTCCATCCACTCCATACCGTGACCCTAAAGATATTCTTCAGTAACTCGAGCTCGGTGTGGTCGCGCATTCTCGTCCATCAGAGGAAATCCAGGACCAATAGCAGAGGCATATGGGCGGACATATTGATCAAGGATCTCGTCTCGATATCTCGATATCAAAGTTCCTCCATGGAACACATGCAGGTCAATGTGACCACCGAGAGAGATCACAGCCCAAACTAATATTCCACCACCTCTGTAACTGCGCCTTTCCACAAGGTGGGATTGGTTGTATCTGGTGCGTTGTTCCCTTCAGATCAGCTGACGACCTAAATCACTCTTCAATGTAAATCTGGACTCCCTATGAAGAGAATAGAAACCCATTGTTGCCTGGTTCAGGAGACGTGTTCTCTTGCCCAACATAAACGGACACCTCTGTGTTTTGGGATCAAAGGGGCACAAACAACTGGTCGTCTTGCATACAGACCTGTATTGTGACAGGTGTCTGCGCACTGTAGCAGCTGAGATTCGTTTTCCTGTTGCCACTAAATGATCTGCTATGAGCTGAAGCACAGTAATGTTGCTCCTCCTTCGGGTCGAAAGAGCAAAATAACGGTCTCCCGCAGGTGTTGTAACTCTAGGTCTGCCTGTAACATGTCTTTTAGACACCATCCTCGGATTCAAACTGATTCCATAGTAGGTGGACCACACTACGAGATACATTGAGACGTTTAGCAGCATCAGCTTGTGACATCCTTATTTCCATCCTTTCGATCGCCCACTACCTCAACGAATCGGGCGAACTACTTCTTCTGGACATTGATAGACTCTCCTGGATATTGTCCACGAAATTGTAATAACAACTAAAGATTACCAATTGTGAACAAAAAACAAAAAATGAACAAAAAATTTTTGCATTTTTTCTCCAACGCCTATTGTTTTTGCATACATTTTCTCAAACTTCGTTACTGTCATGTATATGAACTTTGAATTTAAACGTTACTGACAATTTTGTAATGGCGAGCTTTGAAAAACATATTGTTCCTTAACTTTTGGAAGGTAGTTTATTTTTGCTTATTCTGAAGGCTACCAAATGCTAGTTATCAAATATCTCCGGGTATGCACTTGAGCAGAGCAAAACTGAACACGAGAAAACTGTTTACATTGTTAAGATCTTGAAGACCGGAGTGTCTGATTTCAATTTTCACCTTAATCGCAGCACGTTTGTAAAACAAATACAGAAAATAAAAATTTAAAGTGTTTAGTAATAGTTCTTTTTATATGATAATATTAAATTATTATTCTTTACATAAATACAATTTATAATATTTATATAAATAGGATATGTTTTATAGTGCCGAATGTATGTCATTTCTTCTTGATGGATTGATGTTCTAGTACAGCAAATATTACAAGGACAAAATTCCTCATATTTTCATTTTTTAACAGTCATATGTAAAAGCTGTTTCATCATTTACTTGTCATCTTGATTATAAACAGCATAGAATTACCATCTAGAAAAAATAATAAAAGTACTATTTAATAAATACGATCTTTATGGTCTTAAAAATTTATTCGGAAGCAGAAATTCCTGTCTCGAATTTTGAAGCCGTTTTATAGAGTAAATGGAATTAGTGAAAACTATTAGAGTTTTCGCAAGCTCACGAAGCCAGAATTTATCATTTATATGAAGCAATAATTAAACATTTGGGGAAAAAGTGTGATTATTGTTATGTGAATGTGTCTATGTGTTATTGAAGAGAAAATAAAAATGAAAATATATTAAAAAATGGTAATTAAACAGACGTGCTTAGTATTGAAGTCTACCACTAAATATGAAGCTAAAGAAATTTCCTTCACCAATGATAAGTTAAAAAAGCGCAGAGTCCTTATCTCGTAATTTAACAGTTTTAAATTTAACAATTTAGTTTAAAAGATTTTGGATTTTACTCTTTGATGCTGCCCCCAGAGCATAATCCTTTTCAAAACCAAATTTAATGTTAGAAATCAAATCATATGTACGACAGCATCTCCCTCCCCCCCAAAAAAAAGCATGAAACGTCTTGCACGGCTAACAAATGAAAACTACAGGTATGTCGAATTCGATGTTTAAATCCCACCAAAAAAATAAGTATAATTTAATTTTTAACATATAATTTTATTGCTTTATCACTCCTCCCCCCCAAAAGAGTTCGTTCAATGCATAAAAAAAAAAAGGTAAAATTAAAAGTTTCTCAAAGGCACCATTTTTAAATTCTCTAGCGGGGGAGAAAAGCCCTAGCGCCGGGCTTGTTTCTCAAATATAGGTTCTATGGAACAAAAAATAATGTATCCTTTTCTATGACAATCTGCATAAAAATACAGGTCATTTAAAGTTTGTCAACGGTAATTTTGGATTAGTTCATCATTTATCAAAGTTTGTTGGAAATTGCTTCCGTAAAGTGAATTTTTCAGTTAGTGTTTGAGCTGAAATATTCAAATGCAAAAAATGTTGAAGAAGGAAACCAGATACCTTATGAGCCATGTTTTCAAAGTCTCTAAAATAAAATAAACATCGTATAATGTTATTTGTCCTTCAACTTTTCATCTTGAATTCAAGTTCGACCTTTAATTAAACAGAGTAGATTATATTTCATAAATATTCCCATAGTTCATCAACTTCCACATCATAAGTAGGTAAAGTAACTCGTACTCATGAGACCATGCTTTTATTGTTTTTATTCTTCCTGTTATAAAAACCTGTAAACTTTTTTTTAAAAAAATCGTTGATGACATGGCATTCTAGAGATTGGCATTGCATATATAACACTTTGTGGAAGAATTCATAATAGAAGGGGATAATTTTCAATAAAATTTAAATAAACAGGAAGTGTTTTTTAGTTTTAATATTCTGCAAAGTGAGAAAAGTTCGGAAACCGAATTGACGCTGATGTTCGATTCCCCCCCCCCACACACACACTTCTTAAGGAAGCAATCATCTTCATTTCACTCGAAATACTGATTTTATGGCATTATACCTCATATATTTGACTTGAAATTGATATAACAATAAAAATTCACATATATGGCATAAAACTATAAGCATTTTAAAAACACAATACCTTAAACATTTAAATGTAGCATATGGCATATATAATGATAGTCAAAATTATGTGTATTATTCTTCATTCAGCATTTCTAACTTTGAATCTTGATTAGAAGTTCCTAAATTGTACTCTCCGTCTACTTAGCTAACAAATGACTGTAGAATAGAAGGACAAAATAAACAGAGTTATAACTTTTTTTACCGTATTACGTCTAGCCCAACAGCGGCCGAGCGGTAAAGTCGCTGAACACTGGTAGTTCGGTCCGAGGTTCGAATCCCGCGAACGGGCTGGCTGCATGGGCGTTTTCGTGGTTTTCCCCATGTGTAACGTGTATAGAGCCAGTTTCCCTTAGAAAGTCCTCCACGAAAGGCATCCCTCCCCTTAGGCAGATAGCCCTAGTGTGCTTTGCCATAATTTAATACACCACCACCACCGTATTACATCTAAATTTGTGCTACTTGTTTCGCTTACGATTTTAAATAAAGAATTGCGTTATCTAAGTACTTGCTTTTTACTAAGAAAAGTATATTACATACAACTTTAAAATGTGCTTTGAGTTAAATACTGCAGATTTTATGTCATTATGTGTTATCACTTATTTATATATATTATATTACAGTGATAATATGAGTTAGCATATCATATTTAATTCTGTTAGCATTAAAAAGAAATTACTGGCAAACAATGAAGGGATAAACCTGGAGGGGGCAGAGATCAACTTCTGAGAAGCTTTAATCCTTTATCCTTAAAAGAGCACTCTTGATTTAAGTGAGGATGATTTTTATAGAAAAGTGAAACTTTTTTTAAATCATCTCGAACAAAGCCTCAGTTTTCACAGATTAAATATTTCTAACCGGTTGTTTCCTCTTCTAGTACTTCTTAACAACTTAGATAACTACTTATAAATTCCCTCTCTCTTTATATGCAAGTAAAAAGGGGAATCATCTAAATCTTTAGAATCCTATGAATAATAGTTTAGAGTGCCTTACATAGCTTGAGAAGTGTGTACTTCCGAGGTTAAGATAGTTCCAATTTACTTTGATGAAACTTTATTTGTAAAACTATTTGCCGGTGTTTAAACGTTACTAAACATTTAAACGTAAAAGTTGCTTGCCTTGAAATCATTCCTAATTTTTTTGTTAATCACAGCATTCAAGTACCGAATTAAAAGAATAGAAAACACAATATTTTTTAATAAGTGTACTTACCATTTGTATTAAATTTGTCGCCATATTTAATTCTTTCTCACCGCTGTTAAATACGTAGATTATAAAACTAAAGATTTAATTGAAGCAAAGCAATAAGGATTATTATATTTTTTAAAAATTAAATCGAGAGAAGACAGTTTAAAAAACACACATTTATTAATACATTATAGAATGTTTTTTCTCAGATGAAAAATTCTGAAAATAGTAATCCAAGAAAACGGTTCCGTCCCTTTTGTTTTCGAAGTAACCTGAAAGAAGAAAATGTACATATAATTAGCAGAAATTTGTATAAAATAGTTATTGATACATTATTTATGTAAAATTTATACGGTTATTCTATTACTTTAATTTATCAACACTAAAATTTAGAGATTGTTAGATGACGCCTACTCCTATCTGCCTTTTGATGAAATTAACAGAAATTTTTATAAAATATTTATTGATACATTATTTATGTAAAATTTATGCGGTTATTCTATTACTTTAATTTACCAACATTAAAAGTTAGAGACTGTTAGATGATTCCTACTCCTATCTGTGATAGTTCGGTCCGAGGTTCGAATCCCGCGAACGGGCTGGCTGCATGGGTGTTTTCGTGGTTTTCCCCGTGTGTAACGTGTATACGAGCCAGTTTCCCTTAGAAAGTCCTCCACGAAGGCATCCCTCCCCTTAGGCAGATAGCCCTAGTGTGCTTTGCCATAATTAAATACACACCTACTCCTATCTGCCTTTTGCTGAAAATGTCATAACTCAAAGTAAAACGTTAAGATAAAATCTATTTAAGTACAAGTCGACCTGAAGGTTATACAGTTTCAAAATGTATCTACCACAAAACTCCACTAACTTGCGGATAATCTCATTAATTACGTCCGAATTTGATTAAATATAGAATACAAAATCAAGGGATCTCACTAAACCAAGGCTTACCCGTAAGTGCTCGCTTTAACTAAAAGATAGATTAAAGATCTTACGTCATGTCGATTGGCGAAACTCTGGAAATTGGCTGTTTGTCAAAAACACCATTAAAGATAAATTAAACATTTGGCATCCCGTTTAGTGATAACACTCGCCAGGTTGCGTTTATAATATGGCCTGGTAGCATAATGCGAAACAAAGCAAATACCCCAAAATTTGGGAAGTTCCACGAAAATATTCTAAAGTTAAAGGAGAAGGGGAGAAAATCATATCTTTGTGAGTTATGAGGAAAAAATTCTGAAACGTGGACGTAATATGTAAACTGTGTTTGACTGAGCGAGAAATTTTTATTAAAAGAAAAGAATGTTAAAATGTATTTGGGACTTATGATCTGAAGCTTATAAGAACACAAGTTCGTTGATAGAATTCTGTTCCTTTATCTTGCATCTCAAATTAATAAAAGAAGGAATTAAAAGTATCATATTTTTCAGGATTGGGAACTAAATTATTTTTTAATAAATACGCCAGTCATTCTTCAAGTCTTAAATTCATGAATTGAATCTTTAAATGCCCCAAATAAATAGATATATATTGCTGAGGTAAGAATGATTTAGTAACTTAGAAGAGACTGCATCACTCAAAGCTCCTAGTGTTAAGATGAGAATGAATCAAATGGCAGTGTTCGTTAACATGGATAAAATTTTGTAATTGATGACTTGAAACTGATAAATATTTTAAAAAAAACTCACATATAGTATAGTTTACGGGAACTTTTTCTTTTCAACAAAATAAAGTTAAATTGAATCAAAGTCCAGGTTAACATCTATCTAAATACCATTAGGATAAATACAGTATTTAATAAAATTTATACAGATTACTTAATCACACCATGAAAACACGAATTATCTTCAATGAAGAATTCAGGAAAAAATTCTTAAAAAGCCTATTCATCTTCCGAGCGAAAACATATTTATATTGGAAGACTTGTCAACAATTTTCAAGTCTTGATTCAAGATCATTACACGAAGATGAACTAACGAAAATTGGCAGCTAATTTAATCTGCTCTAAGAAACGAATTTGAAATAATATTACCAGACAGTAATGATTTTATTCGCTCGCCGGCTGTAGGGCTTAGCGAACTCAAGAGAGAAAGTCAAGGTTACACCGGATCATTAATAATCCCTTAGACTTTAGGGAATACAGACCTCAAATTTCTAAACGCGTAATGCGACTCTCTTGGAAAACGAAGAAATAACATATCCCTTCTGAAGACAACACAGTTAACGGATACAAAAATTTTACCCGTAAAGCGAGAATTAAATCGCGACTGTCAGAAAATATACAACAATTCCGAACTAATATTTGAATTATTTATTGGTTGGTAGAATTTTGTGGCGAAGTATTAGATGTTAATTAATAGTGCGCTAGACACTATCGTTGAATGAATTCTTTGAATAGTTATAAGTTATCTAAAAGACAGGAATGTTAAAATTGCGTTTTAACAGAAAGGGAGTGGAATTTACAAGCCTAACCCGGATATTGACCGAGTTTATTAAACTGAACGGAAGGGAACTAATTGTTAATTCGCCAGTGGCAACCTTAGGTTCTGTGAAATCCATTTTTAAAAGCCTTACCAGCAGATAATTAGTAGTGAAATCAGCGAATTAAAGATAGGTGTTATTTCCTCTTAAAAGCCACCGAATATGCCCTCACCTTAAAGTGAACGCTGACCTTATGATTTTATGGAGACGTCTGAGACCCATATCTCACTCACCGTCTTTGTTTCATTTCGGCGCAGCTGCGATATCGGCTCTCGAATGCCTCAGGTAAATTAAAAGACAGGGAATGTTAAAATTGCGTTTTAACAGAAGGGGAGTGGAATTTTACAAGATAACCCGGCTAATTGACCGGTTTATTAACCTGAACGGAAGCGTGAACTAATGGTTTAATCGCCGTTGGCCCAACCTTAGGTTCTGGTGAAAATCCCATTTTTAAAGCCTTACCAGCAGATAATTAGTAGTGAAAATAGCGAAATTAAAGATAGTGTTATTTTCCTCGTAAAAGGGGGGGGGGGGGGGGGGGGGGGGGGGGGGGGGGGGGTGTGTGGGGGGGTGGGGGCCGGGGGGGGGTGGGGGGGGGTGGGGGTGGGGGGGGGGGTGGGGTGGGGGGGGGGGGGGGGGGGGGGGGGGGGGGGGGGGGGGGGGTGGGGGGGGGGGGACCGAATATGCCCCTCACCTAAAGTGAACGCTGACTTAATGATTTTATTGGAGACGTATGAGGACCATATCTTCACTCCCGTCTTTGGTTTCATGCGGGCCGCCGTGGGGGGGGGGGGGGGGGGGGGGGGGGGGGGGGGGGGGGGGGGGGGGGGGGGGGGGGGGGGTGAGGGGTGGGTTGGGGGGGGGCTGCGATATCGGCTCTCGAATGCCTCAGGTAAATCACGAATCAAACTCGTGACATCTAACTGAATTCAGTTAAATCTAAAACCAGGTGGTGCCTGAGTCAACGGAATAGTTTTTTGTTGCTTTTTTTGGATATGTCTGACGTTCTTAGCATGGACGCACTGTTTTCATATGTGTTCGTGGCTTGTATAGACAGCGAACTACGTCACAGGCAGACGTCTTCAGATGCAGGACTGAATTAGCATAGAGCTTTTCTTTTGCTGTTTTACAAAAAGACAAATAGAACTCAACTACTTTTTTATCACCTGCGCGACTCGGAATTTTTTTCATTAGGCCTCTGAACTTAAGAATGAGTTATTCGTTTAAACTCTCGTTGTGTACGACGTTTTTAGAATTTTAAACTGTAGCCAGGATTTTAAAATTCTAAAATCGTCATCCATAGAAGAAGCTAGACTAGTCTTTATAATTTAATCAGATTAAAAGTCGTTGTAAGTCTGCTCGTGAAACTGATTAATTGCACTCAGAATGTAATAAAAAAATAATATTTTCAACCTGATCCCTGAAAAAAAAACTTTAAATACTTTTAACGCTACTTATTCATTTTTATTCTTTTCACTTTGTTTCCGTGAAAGAAATGAATAACAGTTACCTTAGCCTCTAACCGCTTTTAACTTTCTCCTCTAACCGGCAAGGCCGTATTTATACGACTTAGAATATTTTTTGTGATATCTCTAAGAATATATACATACGTGAATATTAACATACGTCAAAGAAACTAAGGCAGTATATTAAAAGTATACAAATCCAGGTATAAAATACTAGGAGAATTTTTACATTAAAATCAAGAAAATAATTTTTTCTCAAAGTAGTTTTGAGAAATTTACGTTTTCTTAGCGAAAACCCTGGCCGGTCAGAGGATTAAGAAACACGGGAAACAATATGTTTAAAATTTTGCTCTTAAATACAGTATTTTAAATTGCCTTTGTAATCCGTTAACATACTTCTATGACCTAAACATACATCATCCGATGGCACAGTGATTATTACAGAATGAATGCTAGGCATTTTAGCTTTTCTCCCGGAATGAGAGTACTTATAAGCGGTCGACCCAAAATTCCTCTCGAGAGACTGTTATAGGGAAAGAGGAACTGAGACTTTTGAATTGCGTCACCATCAATAAAAACTGGGACAGAACTTAGGCAGGTAATCTTTACATTTGTTACTGTCATTTGATACTTTTTAACCTAACTATGAGTAATTTTGTTAGTTGAGAGCCTTATTTGGAATAAACGTCTTTTTTAATAGTCACTGACTGTAGTTATAAATTTTAAAAATATATTCTTTAAAACACGTTTAGTATATTTCATTAGAAAATCTAACAATCACCAGCTTAGTATGCATTGGATTATAAATGTATCATTGTATTCTTCATTATTTATGAACGCTTATATTCATAGCTATATATCCCCCCTATGGTTTGCATTACAATAGCCTGACACATTTTAGATGTAATACACATCAAGTTACGGAAGTAAGCATTGCAACTCGAAATTACACGTGATAAATGAGAGGAGAGGAGTATATGCTTAGATACATCTTTACTTGCATGGTATGTGAAGGATGGCGTTACGTTAAATTCACTAAAAACTGATACAAAAAATTATAAGAGTTGACTTCACTGCATGGTTTAATGTTTAGTTAGTATCCCGAAGCTTCATCCAGTGTACGGTCTGTCTCAGCTATAAAAGTCTTAGCTATCCTAATGAAAAAAAAAAAAAAAAAAAAGAATTAAACTTAGAGACAAAGCCAGTTTCCACAGCTCGTAAGGTTTTATGCTAAATATTATTTCGGCTGTTTGGCTTTACTTCTTCTACCAGAATGCTAATTAGTTAAAGTAAAAATGAGCGCAGAGTTCTTGGATTTGCTGAAA